GATGTCCATGGATCTTAAAAGATTGAAAAACATGAAAATTAAAAAAAAAAAAAATTCGCTGAATACTACCTAAAATTTTCAATAAACATCCTTTCCTATGGTAAATCCAAGGATAATTATAATTATATATATATATATATATATATTTTGCAAATTATATCCTTGTAATGACAATAATGTGGAATAGCTGGAAGGTTAACACATAAGACATTTTTTTTCCTATTATAATGAATTATAGAAAAATAAATTACTTGGATAGTGGATTTGAATCTAGGAAAAATTTGGTGGCAACCCCTTCAGCAAGTGGCTGGTTACCACCAAAAAAAAAAAATAGTAAATACTACCACCATTTTTCATGTGAAGTTGGGTTTTTATTTTGGGTATATTGACAACAACATAGAAAATTTCAAATTAATGTAATAAATATCTACCAGGCAGCAATTTCATATGATGGCGATATTTAAGATTTGGGACCAACGTAACTATCCAAAATTTTTCCTCTTTAATACGAGGAAGTGACCAGTGTCATTTGTCACAATTATTTTGGTGTTGCCTTCAATATTTGCTCATTTCCATATCATGCAAGCAGCAGCTAATGACTTTTGCCAATGCCCAAAATTGCAAATCCACCTCGTTTTTTCACTCAAATTAATACTTCAAGCTCTGGCACTAATCACATAATTATCTTCTTATATGCTTAATTTTCTTACATATTTATTCTTTACCTTCAATATTGTTCTGGTAATTTAGCCTGAAAAACATTGATGAAAATGGCTCCATCCATGGGAAGTTGCAAAATATAAGAACAAAAAGAGATGGAAAAAAGGAGATGGGGATTGGTATCTTCCTTTTAGGATAGGGGGCATGATCACATGGGAGTATCAGTGGTGAAGAGATACAAATGAGACAATGGCAGAGGATTTGGTGGAGCCACATTAATGCACAACTCATTTGTAGCCTTCCTTCTTTCACCTTCCTATCCATCATCAACCACCTTATTCTCTAATCAATAATCAATCTTCTAATAAAATAACAGGTTTTGATTAATAGTTCACACTGACTATTAAAATTACTGTATACACTGACCGCAGGAATGACACCTTGGAACTTTGCTTCTCATTTCTGTGACGAATCCACAGGTGCCATTGCCTCCCCTCCCTTCCCCTTTCTTTTCTTTTCTTTTCTTTAATGCTTCCTCAACCAGATTTTTTTTTCTAGACCAAATCAGATTTTAATTTCCTTTAATATTTGTACATTAGAAAATAATAATGAAAAAGGCAAAGTATCCTGAAGAGATACGTTGTCCTGCCGCCGTTTTTCTCTTTCCAGAATTAACCACTAGGTTCGCAGCTGGACTTATTTGAATGAAATAAACACTAACATCAACGCTGGAATGGGTTTTCAGGTGGGGCAGTGTTAACTGGTTTTTGCCCTGGTAGGTGGGGGCGTGGCAGAAAAAGGACAGACATATGGGATTAACATTTACCAGGCGGCAGCTATCATCCTGAAACTCCTGACTTCTATTGTTATTAAACCATTTTGTTGTCAAGTTTGCTTTCAGGGCCATCAACTCCTGAATTCCATCCCATGTTGTAGATAAGCCAGTCCATGTTTCAGGTTCACTAAAATAATCAAGATTCAAAAATCCAAGCACTTGTATTTAAGAAACTGCCCATCTGAATATAGCTGGAGTAACAGAGTGAATGAAAGCAGCCTTCAATTCTCTGCCTGCAGTAAAAATTGAATCACAGCACAGAAACAACGATATCAATAACAAAAATAATAGTATTATCGAATCTTTAAACGGCCATAGATTGGGAGAAAGATTCATATATATCATTTGCCAAAAACATGATTGACTGCTGAACTAACTTTACAATCTTTTTGGAAGTATTATAAACCTGTTTCGGACCCCACGCAGCTCCTACAAGAACAAGATCGAGCACATAATCAAGTAGGACCGGAATCCGCCAAAAAAGGCTCTTTCCCCTCCAAGAGTAAAGGGTTCTGACAAGGAGAAAATTGCTTGGGGACAACATCCACAGGTTATATGGTGGATTTTAGCACCACTGCACCAGGCTACAGAAACATTTCCTGCAAAAACTTCAGAATCCATAAAAACACAAAAATTCAAATTTTAAGTGCAGTCCACAGATAAAAATAGAGAGATAGTGTCTGAATAGGATCCAGCAGAGCAAGTTAAAATAAGGATAAAGCTTAAGTTTGGCATGTAGATAGTCCAAGAACCTACCGGACAAGTATGATATAATGACAACTTATTATTTCCTACCATTTTATGTGATTCTACTATTGAACTCCTACAAAACACATTGCACGGATGCCACAAATTCAATGCAAGAAACACTTTCTAGTTTTAGAAATGAATTAAATAAAAATGATGTTTTCTGATCTTGGTACAACAATTTATCCTTTGGCTTTTGGGTAATTAATGGGAGTATGGATGATTAGCATGTTGACAGATCTGCCATGACAAACAGGAATTATTTTTTACAATGCAATGCAAGAGAAAAGCAGCATAATGCATATGAAGGATACCAATAGTTCCTACCTTCAAACCACCAATAACGAAATGAGTACAAAAACTTCAATTCTTCCTAGTTCCTTGGCTACCCCAACTCACTCAAAAAAAAAAAAAAAAAAGAAAAACAAAAAACATGTAAAGAGATCTGTGAAACACAAGGTGATGATTAAGTCTTGTTCAAATTTATTTTACAAACTATATTTACAGAAGGCCTAAGTTCAGAAAACAATGAGATTGATGAACAGATATTAGATTCCAAATCATGCATCTCTAAGCATTCAATGTTTTTGAATTACCCATCCCCCCCTCTCAAATGTACCACTTCATGGCTCGTTATAACATCTAAATCATAAGATCACAACAGAAGAAAATGCCTCATCCATAGCGAAAACAGGTACTTTGCAAGGTAACTCTTGTGGAATCAAACATTTTAAGACATCCAAGTATTATAAAGCAATGAAAATTTACAGTGTTGCAATTTGCAAAAACTTTATTATGCATGCCATGGTACTTATTGAATTCACTAGTCACTACATTGTTGCTAAAACATGACATTCAGTGAAGTCACGTTCCAAAGATGGATCATTCTTGATCTTTCCCAAAGTTGGCCAATTGCATTTGTCTCTGACATAAGACTATCAGCTGAGATTTGTTCACAGGTAAATGACCAGATCTAGAGCAAGTACAAGAATGTAAAGACTTCAATAGTTAGCTGATTGACCCAACCAGATCATCTGGAAAAAGGGGAGAACAGAAACTGTACACAGAAGAACAAAATCTAGAGTAAAAGAAAGACGAAAAGAGAGAGGAGATGGAGAGCAAAGAGACCCGCACACATATCTTGCATGTTTGTCATTACAGCAGAGCAGCACAATAGGGATCAAACCATCCTCAAGAAGGGGACATGAAATTCCGAGAGAAGACAACATAAATCTCCTTGCTTACCAGCCCTAGGAGCAAAAGTTAAGCTTAAAAGCATCATATTTTTATTGTCTGCCAAGTTCGCAAACAATCGAAGTTTTTAAAGAGAAAATGGATGGAAGAAGATAATATTCACCAAAAAGAATGTTCCAAATATGTTTTAATAAAGTAAACAGAAGAAGAACAAATGTGCTAGAACTCTGGGGGCACTCCTAAGCAAGAAATACTAATTCAAATCACCCCTCTGAACTGTCATTAGGTTTACTAGTGCAAGATAATATCATTACTATAAGAAGCCTGACTTAAGATGAGAAACTCCTTGTAAACAATTTCAAAGGTAAAAGGAATAATCCAGCAAGCATTTCTCTCAGGAAGCGATAGCCCCTGGGAAATGATGATTATCATGTCATGTTCAATTTCCTTGTACATGTAGATTAACAGATAACAGATAACAGATAACATGCTTATTTGGATTGTGAAGCAAATAACAATAGCGTCTGGAGCCATGGCTACCAGAAAATCTAGTGCTGGTTGCCTATGTTTCTTAAGTAATGAATGGTAAACATTTGCAACTACAGCCAATTAGTGGTATCAGCAGCTACTTTCTCATGTAGGCGAGAAGGCAGCACTTAAAGCACCAATACAGATTTCATTTGTGCTTGACAAAGATTCATCTTATATTGGATAAAAGGAGCAACAATAGAATCATAAAGATTGACTCCAGAGAATCAAAAACCGCTTCAGGACTACCAGACTTAGACAGAAAGCATAAGAAAACACAGAAGATGAAGTAAGAAATTAGGATCAACTCCTAAACAATGCTAAAAATGTCAATCCAGCAGTCAACTAGACAAAAACTACACTAGAGGAGCACCTCCCCTTTTTTAGCTAATAAGAATTTTATTTTGTGGCCATCCAAGTGATGTGAATAAAGATAACGCCATGTGATGATGGTTTATGCAATACTTCCCCAAAGTCACGATAACATGTCTTTTGCATTTCCATCTTATGCATGCACCTTCCAAGACCATCAACCAAGCCTGTTCAAAAATTTCATTCCATTCATTATTAACAAGAAAAAAATCAAATTATGAAATGCAAATATACAAAACAAGTAAGATTTCAGCAAGATTACTTTGCAACAAACAAAGTGAAACATGCATGGCCCAGAGGTCCAAAAGAAAAACCTTTTTGAGCATCCATATATCATGTCATCCTATGGCAGCCACAAGATTCTGGTCTTACATCCTTCAGGAACACTGATATCTTGGGCTTACAGAATCCCTGAAGTAGAAGAACCCAGCAAGCCACAAACTAAAGAAATTAGTGCCTCATGCCCTCATAATAACTTCCCCTACAAATTGCCCCACTGTTGAAAAGCAAAAGAAAGGTGGCAAACCCCAAAATCATCTTTAGACATTTAGAAGGAAGGTGTCTAAGCCTCCTTCTTCAACCCTGGAAAATACAGGGGAATCATCAATAATGTCCTTAAATGAGAATGCTTATGCTGAAAACAGAGTATCATACCCTGAGAACATTCACATCAAACAGAAGACTTGAAACATCTTTCTTTAGTACTAAACAAATATCAAGAAAAACATAAAACAAACACTAAATCAGAAACAACCAGAGGGATTTTGTCACAGAATAACATTTTTTAAAAATTAAAGCATTCAAATATCACCAGAAGATTAGTCATACATCCATAGTATATCTAACAGATGCAAGAAATATACACAAGAGAATGATCAGATAAATATATCCTTGATATCTGCCCAATTGATGGCAAATTCGTGATGTACTATTTCTCAGAGATTTGTTTTGCTAAAATAAATTTACAAATAAGGGAGAAAAGACATGATAGAAGAACTGATACACAATGCTTAGTTCAGAAACATTTAATGCTTTTCAGTTTCTGTTGTGTTACATTCATTTCGAAATATATCACTATATGCCATAAACCTGAATGAGGAAAATTGATAGCATAGTTCATCAAGCTTCATACAATTGAGGAAGCCCCCAATGTAATGACATATCCAAGTCTATTTCTAAGGGGAAAAAGTAGAGAAGGAAAAAAAACCACAGACACTCTGGGTTATCTAATAGGAATGCTGCTATCAGTAGAAATTAAGTTTCTTAGCTCCATCAAATGTTCATCATTAGATATATGAAGTGATAGACGAAGATTAGTCATTAATTCTTCTTGTTCCCAACTTAAAGGCCCCGATGCATGCAACGCCTCCATAGTGCAACGGTAGGCATGTAACTCTATCTTATGGATCTCAGCAGCCAGTTTCTCTCTCATAGGAGAGAGACAATTCCCTTCCTCATCTCCCCTTGGACAAAAGGATTCAGCATCACTGCATTGATCATTGACATCTTCAGTAGGACCTGTAGAAATACGATGAGGCAACTTATAGAGATAGTTACTACTCACGCTACAACTACCAACAGAGCATGTAATACTATCAGCATCATTGGTTTCTAAGTGTTCTGCAAAATAACATCCAACAGCACCATTTGGTTTTCTCCTGTCCCCATGCACTTCACACAACCCACTTCTGTTGTTCAGAGAGGCATATATGTATTTTTCACCCAGCATATCTCTTGGAAAAGCAACAGCATCTACCTGTTCATGGATCACTTGGTTTGAAGCAACCAATCGGTATAATCTTCCATCTTGCTCAACAGCTATAAGCTTCTGCCTAGCTCCAGCATGAGCTTCAACTTGAGAGTAGCATCCTCTCTTTAGAGTTTTTGGGGAAGCAATAACAGATTCCTGGCAACTAACCTTTTTGTTAACAGGACCACATTCACCCTTCACATGTCGATTTGTCTTTCTTATCTTTTTTTGAAATTGGGAGCTAGAATTTTGATTGTATCTAAGAGTAGAATTTTCACCATGTTTCCCATCTTCACAACTGCCAAAACCCTGCATGTAGACATAATATAAATGAATACCTTGATTTATAGAACAAGAACATACATATGGCATCAGATTTGCTTGAACTTAATAGAAATAATGCATAATACTTAAAATAAAACTTCAAATGGATATGGCACAAAGAAGGCTTATTGTCTCAATGAAGGGATCTCATTCAGATAATACAAAGAAGAAATAAAAGCTAACCTCAAGTTATAATAAAACTCCAAATGGGTATGGTAACAATAGACATCAAAATAAATCAACTTGGTGTAATGCAAATTGTTTAACCGGGAAGCAATGAATGCTGAGAAAGCCTTGAAAACTTAAAGATTTCAAATGCGTTAGAAACACAGATAAAGATAGAAAGTACCTTTCCAATCACAACCCATCCATCATCTTGCCATGATTGTCTCACACGGATATCAAATTTACTGACTTTGAACTCCAGAGACGATCCAAGCAATCTAACCAAAATGTACTTTTTCTCCAAAATCCCTAAAACCATTGCCATCTTCCAGGAAAAATTGTCTAAAACCTCAACAATATCACCAGGAATCCAATTATCTGAAACTACTGGCACAGGAGTACAAGGTCTAATAGCCTTCCTAGATACCCTCTCCACAATGGTCTTGTTAGTGGCACCGGAATAGCCTTCATATCTAACTGTGTAGCTGCGGCCATTGCCACTGACTATCTCAGCACAACGCCAGGAGCTCGATGGCACCTCTGTTTTGCTCAAGACTTCCACTTTGGCCCCTTTCCTGAATCTCATGATCCCTGTTACATAAAATTACAATGCCCAAACTGCAAAAGACATTGAAAAATAATGAGATTAATTCATAAAACATACAAATACAATTAGAATATCCTAGCATCCACTAGAAACAATTATAGCAAGAGAACAGTGCGGAAAAAGAAAGGCAGTTTCTGCAACGTTTGTTTAAGAAAATGAGAACGAAAATTTGAATCAGGATTATAAAAATTAAACAAAAAATAAAATTTAATTAGAAAACATAACAAAAAGAACATTTTCTTAATAAAAATAACAACAAAGAAAATCTAATGCAAGCGTTATTCATTCCTAAAAATTAGTTTAAAGTAAAGAAACAAACAAAAAAAAAAAATCGGGAGCAGACTCTGTTTGGTACCACAAGAAAATGCAGGAAAAAAAAGGCAATCAGAATTTCAGAGAAGAAAAAAATTAAAGTGATCCACTAAGTTTAAACTTTTTCTATTTTAAAATAAAAAATAAATAAATAAATCATAAAACAGAATTTAATCCTCCTCCTCCTTTTCTTTCTATGTATCCACCGTTTTCTCAGTAGCCAAACAGAAGAAAAATAACAACAATTATAACAAAAAAAGAGTCGTAAAGCAAAAAAAAAAATTGGACTTGTTCGTAGTCTAAATAATCAGAATTAAATTTTGAAAAAAATCAAATAAATACTTTAAATTATCGAATTGAGGAAGAGATTTGACTAACCTTTAATGGAGGATTGAAGAGAAAATCAAAAAAGAGTTTTGTTTATCAGTGCCTTCAGATTTTCATTTGTTGTTATAATTTTTTTTTATTGGGCAAATTACATTATATATGGTGTTCAAAGATTTTACTTATTTATATTTTAAAAAAAGAAAAAAATAATGGAAAATTAAGTACAATAAACAAGGAATAATATGGTAAGCTTTCATGCCAAGTTGCCAACCTCTAAGAATAGCTTGTTAAGGTGCATTAACTATTTCAATCTGTTCATTTCGCACTCATTATTTGTATAATAATTTTGTTTAATCTCGGTAAAAATGTTGTAATTAACTAATTTTATTTTTTAAGAGCATTTGGTTCACGAATTTTTAAACATTGATAAAAAAATAATTTTTCAAGAAAGTGATATTGAAAAAAAAAAGGTAAATCTTGAGCTTTTTTTTATCTTAAAGAATGCAAAATTTTTGTATTTAATTAGAAAAATGTAAAATTATTTAATACAATTTTTTACTACAAAGTCATTGATAAGGCATGAACAATATGTAAAGAAATAATATATTTATTTAATATTTTATAAGATTTTTAATTATAAATTATTTATATATTTAGTTAAACATTTTAAAAATATTTGTGTATGTATTTTGTCAAGTTACATGAAGTCTTAATTATTAACTTAACAATGATTGTCCAAAAAATATGCGAGGTTGGAAGGGGTGATAAATCCTCTTTGTTTTTGAAACAAATTTTATATATAATAATATTAAATAAAAATATTTTACGTTTATTTTGATTATGTTATAAGTAGCAATAAGAAGATTTTAAATTTTCTATTTTCAAAGAGTGAATTCCATTATTATTAATGTCAAATGATGATCATAAATATTAAGAATATGTCTTTTTTATATATGACGTTTTAAAATAAGAAAACATAATAAATATTAAAAAAGATAATATTATTTTTCGATAAAACATCGTCTTTTCTAAAAAAATATATATTTGTTAAAGGCAAATAAAATTTTTAATCTAATATTTTTTAATATATTTTTAATAAAGATTCTGCTTTTAAGCTTAAAAATGTTATTTTTATTAAAATTATATAATTTTAATAAATAAAATTTTCTTAATATATTTTAAACAGAGCTCACATTTTTTAGATTAAAAACACGATTTTCGTTATATTTTCAATAACGAATAATGTATTTAAGAACAAAAATGTGGTTCTTGTTAAAACTATAACAAACAAAATATAGTTTTTTTCATAATATATTTTCAACAAAAATCACATTTTTAATTTTAAAAACATGGTTTTGTTAAAAATATAATAAATATTATATTTTTAATCTCAAAAATTTGATCTCTGTTTAAAATATATTAAAATTTTTATTTTCATAATATGTTATAAAAAATTATTATGTTTCTAAGATAAATAGCAATGTCCACATAATTCAAAAATACAATTAAGTGAAAACAAATCAGAAAAAAAAAATTTTACTTTTTCTCTAAAATTAAAAAACAAAAAACTCATAGTGATGAGAGTTTTTATCTCTTATTTTCCTTTTTTTTTTTATACTATTGAAAATATAAAATTTCTAATATAGAGAAAGTTTTTCAACCAAACTAAGGAATCAATTATCCAAAAATTGAATTTCAGGATAAAAAGTTAAAATTCTGCGAATCAAATGGCCCATTATTGTCTTTTAAGGTTTTTTTTTTTTTTTAAGTTTAGATGAAGGGAGAGGTTAGCTCATTTAAAATTGGGTATGTTGTAGATTTCAATGAAAATTTATAGATTGCTCAAATGATTGTTAGTAGTAAGAATTGAACTTAAATATTACAAGTAAAATATTTGATTTGTACCAACTCAATTAATTTTTTGTTTTAAATGTGCATTTTAATAATTAAAATTTTAATTTTAATTTATAGATCTTGAATTCAAATTCAAAAATATTATGAAATTGAAAATATTAATTATATTTTTTATGTAACCCCAAAACATGTGTATTTTTTATAAACCTAATTGGTTCATATATTAATCTTTAAAAATAACATCTAACAAATTTAAAATTTAAATCCCAACATTTACAGTCCATTCTCTTTTTCTTTTTATTTTGATGAAGCATTTTTTTTAAGTTACAACTTCTTTATAATAAAAATATCATGCATATATAAAAAAATAATTTAGTGTGCTTATTTAATTTTAACATTAACTATCATGAGTGATCAATAAAATGTTTATTAAGTATAATTAGAAGAATAATTATTTTATACATAAAATTCTTTAAAAATTTTCTTAAAATGTTAATGTGATATTTACTAAATATCACAATATTTTTTGAATTATTTTCTTAATTTTTTTATATGAGCGTCGTATAGATAATTATAAATTTTCTTTAGAGTTTTAACTATCAAGTTGTGATTTTTCTTTTTCCTTCTCTATAGATGGCGAAGCCAAGCTTTAATTCTTTACAAGTTTTACTTTGTAAACCTAAATATTTCTTTAAAAAGCTTGATAATGCAAGTAGAAAGGCCCATTAATGGTGTTTCATAATGTCTCTATTGTTGTTACACTACTTTCTTACACTGATCAAACGATTATTTGGCTAAACATAATAGATAAATCCATCAACGCCTTTTTTTCTTTGTTTTCCCTCCCTCTATCTTTCCTTATCTCCTGGCCTTTACATTTAGTCATTTAGCATTGATTGCAGCTTCCATCAATGTTGGCTGGTGATTCCTTTCTTCTTGCATCATTTTCCTTTCTCTTTTATCATCCCTTCATTTTTTTTTAGCTTATTTCCAAAAGCTCCTTTATCCAGAAGTATTAGCATTTATCTTTTTTAGATTTAAACATTTTTTTCTAACATCTAACGGTAAAAAAAAAGACACATACCAAAGGCTATGGTGTTGATAATGCCAATTGTTTACTGATATAGTAATTATTTAATAATTTGAATGAATAGTAAAAATGCTAACTTGACAACAAATTAAAGTTGGAGACAACTTAATTTTCAAAGGATAACTTTAATCTATTGTTATAGATTATCTGCATCTCTTTTTTTTAAAAAAAAAAAAAAAACTCTTTTTATAATCAAAATGTATTCTTTGAAGAAAGTTTAACTAATTGCAAGGGATGGATAGATACATTTTATATTACAAAAAAGTTTTAGGAGATAAAAGAATTAGGTGGCCTTTTTTTTTGTTGATGACATTTTTTAAAAAAAATTATCTACAACAATAGATAAAAATTGTCCCCAATTCTATCTTGCATATACATCTCGGCAATGTCATAAAAAATTAATAGTTAAATTTGAGCATAAAAAATTTAGTTTATGTAGACACCCTATTTGGTCCAGGCCAAGACCAATTGCGGCCTGGCTCCATAAGGTCCAATTTGATAAGCCCATTTATTTATTTAGTTATTTATTTATCTTTTTTTTTTAAGTTTTATCTTTTTATTGATTATTCATTTATCTATGATTTTTCGTTTAAATTATCTTTGATTTTACGTTTGATTTATCATTAGTTTTTTTTTTTGTTCTTTATTATCAAATTATGAGACAATAGAAATAATAACTTTAGAGGAATAATGATATCTGAGACTAAACAGAGTCCAGTAGCATCTACAAAACCATAAAAATGAATTCTTTCTATAACTCGTAACTTTTCCTCTAACAAATTCAACTTCTGTTCAGCTTTTGAGCATTTTAAAGTCTTATTCGCTTTAGGTCTCAACTTCTCTTTCTCTTCTAGATCATCCAAATTAGGGATTGATACTGGTTCTACTACCTTCTCGATAAAGATAAAATTTATATAATCTAATACTATTTTAGATTTAAAGCTGATGGCATTCTGAGATATGTATACCCTATAGGATATGTGAACTACTGTGATGATAGGTCTTATGTGGATGAAGTTTAATATGACCTAAAATTAAGAGGGTACAAAGGGTCATCCACCTCTTGTGATGGATGGTCCTACTGGCTAGTATTTCTTTTTAGTCATTTCCCTTTGTTTAACTTATTCAAGGCATCCAAAATCTTATTCAACACCCCTTTCAGCTTCTCTTGAGCTTTCTCTATCCTCTTGAGATGATTAGAATTTTTTTATTCTATTTGTCTGGCTTGAGCTCTTGTATTATATTGGTGAGTTGATTGTATGAGATTTTTTATTGATAGAGCTATCTTTGAACCTTGAATACCACAATTATGATAAAAAATGATATGCTATGCTTTATGTTTGGTATGTTGGTGTATAAATGAAATGTACATTTTCATAGATGAAATCTAATATAAAAATGATGCAAATGCACAATGTTAAATATGACAATGAAAATGATGCCTGACATGATAATGCAAATGCACAAAGTCAAACAAAATGGTTTGGGCTCTGTTTAGTCTCGGATATCATTATTCCTCTAAAGTTTAAGGTTTTGAAGTTTGAAAAATATGATGTACAAAGTGTTTGAAAATCCATATATTATGTACTATCAAAAAATGGTTGCCCATGCTAATAATAAAAAATTGTTAATGCATATTTTTCAAGATAACCTTATGAGCTCTACTGCTAGGTGGTATGTTCAGCTAGACGAACCCGCATTCAATATTGGAGTGATATAGCCCATGACTTTATTAGTCAGTATCGACATATTATAGACTTAATCTCTGATCGCCTGTCTTTTTAGAATATAAAAAAGAAAACGACTGAATCATTCAAAAAATATGCCCAGAGGTGGAGGGACATAGCTACTCAGATATTATCTTTTTTTACTGAGAAAGAGATCATAATGTTATTTGTCAGTACTTTAAAATATCTCTATTATGAAAAAATGATGGAGAATGCCATAAAAAATTTCGTCGACATAGTAATCTCGAGTGAAATCATTGAGAATGCTATTGAAAATGACAAGTTGAGATGAAGAAAAACTAAGAAGGCACCAAAGAAGAAAGAGACGGAAGCTCAAGTCGTGAGCTTTGATAAACAGTTTGAGAGATATTAACCCTATCTACCATAAGGTTATTCCTCATACTATCTTGCTGTGAATAATATCTCACCTTACCCATATCAACTTTTTCTACAACAATCTTACCCATTAACATATCAGCCTATTTCCATATATAGCCTAAACATTCAACC